GCCACCTTAGGTGTACGTGGCTGGCGCCTTAGCCGGTTGAGCTATAGGCGCCGAGCCAGAGATCTGCTTCTTAAAGACAGAAGCTCCTTAAAAACCATTCAAGCTCTGGGGCTTTCTATAGTTCCTGAGGCATAATAGGCACTTGATACATTCGCTCTCCCTCTAATTCCCTTTTTGGGGGGAATGGGGTGGGGGGACAGGGTTCCCCTCTCTTGCCCAGGCTAGAGTGTACTGGTGTGAACATAAGTGACAGCAACCTCAAACTCATAGGCTCAGGAAATCCTTCTGTCTCAGCCTTCCCAGATGCCTGCCACTATGCCAGGCTAATTTTTATATTTTATGTAGAGACCGGGTTTCACAATGTTGTCTAGGATGGTCTCGAATTCCTGAGTTCAAGTGATCCTTCACCTCTGTCTCCCAAAATAGTAGGATTATAAGCATGAGCCCACCATGCTTGGCTGCACTCTCCCTTTTTAACACAGAAAGACACAAAGTTTGGGAGGAGATACACCTTTCAAAATGTGAACTGTGATCTCCTCGGGGTACTGATATTATAAATGATTTTACTTCTTTTTGTTTACTTTTTCTAATTATGAAATCAATTACAGAAATGAACAAAAAATACATATTTTCTAAATTTTTAAATAATAAACATGCAAAGTTCTTAAAGTGGTTTATTTTTTTTGTTTCTGAGACAGAGTCTCTTTGTTAGACTCAATAAAGTGCAATGGCTTCACAGCTCACAGCAACCTCAAACTTGGGCTCAAACGATGCTCTTGCTTCAGCCTCCCAAGTAGCTGGGACTACAGGCACCTGCCACAACACCCAGCTATGTTCTTTTTTTTAGAGATGGGGTCTTACTCAGGCTGGTCTTAAACTGTTGAGCTCAAGCAATCCACCCACCTCGGCCTCCCAGAGTGCTAGGATTATAGGTGCGAGCCACCATACCCAGTCTTAAAGTTATTTTTTTTTATTATTAAATCATAGCTGTGTGCAACAATGCAATCATGGGTACAGTGTGGTGTTTTGATATACAATTTGAGACATTTTCATCAAACTGGTCAACATAGCCTTCATGTCATTTTCTTAGTTGTTATGTCAAGACATCTATATTCTACTTTTTCAAAGATTCACTTGTACCTTTGTAAAATAAACCATAGAGGTGATCCCTCCAATCACCCTCCCTCCACCCATTCACTTCCCCCCCCATATCCTTAGGCTATAATTAAGTTATAGCTTTCAGATGAAAGCTATAAATTAGTTTCACAATAAGGCTGTGTACATTGGATACTTTTTCTTCCAATCTTGAGATACTTTGCTAAGAAGCCCTTAAAGTTAGTTTTAAAAAAATATATCATTTTAGCTTTTTTGCCACAACAACGGAGACTGTTCATTCTTTCTGGCAAATGTATAAATAAATCTATAAATCTCTATAAATCTATCCTGCTCTTGCTCTGTAAGCCTTTCTCTTCCTCAATAAACTTTGTTTCACACTTGAAAAAGAAAACAAAGATACTATTGTGGGCAAAATTATTCTAGAGATAGGCTGCTTTTGTACAAGGGGATAAGGAGTGCAAAGGCTTACAAGGGAACTTTTTAGGGGGATGAAAAATGTTCTACCTTTGATGGAAGTGAGAATGGTGTATACATTTCTCAAAACATCAAACTGTGTACATAAGGTGGGGGGGTTGTTTTTGTTTTTTTGTTTGATATTTGAGACAGAGGCTTACTTTGTCACCCTGGGTAGAGTGCTGTGACATCAGAGCTCACAGCAACCTCAAACTCTTGGACTTAAGCAATTCTCTTGCCTCAGCCTCCCAACCAGCTGGGATTACAGGTGCCTGCCACAGTTCCGGGCTATTTTTAGAGATGAGGTCTCACTCTGGCTCAGGCTGGTCTTGAACCTATGAGCTCAGGCAATCCACCCACCCTGGCCTCCTAAGAGAGCTAGGATTACAGGTGTGAGCCACTGTGCCTGGCCATAAGATGGTTTTATTATGTGTATAGATATGTTTTATTATATGAAAACAATATCTTGCAGGGGTATCCAAATCATGGATCACATGCAGATTATGTGAGGACTTTTTTGCTTATCTGTGGTTGCCAATATCACAAAAATTATGCACTGACCTTTTATCTTGCTCATCAGTTTTCATTAATGTTTGTGTATTTAATGTATGGCCCAAGGCAACCGTTCTTCCAATGTGTAGCAGAGAAGCCAAAAGGGTGGACAGCCCTGTCACAGAGGCACCTATGACCCAGCAAATACACTCTATACACATTTTTTTTTGGAGACAGAGTCTTACTCAGTTGCCCTAGGGTTCAGTGCCATGGTGTCATAGTTCACAGCAACCTCAAACCCTTGGTATCAAGCAATTTTCCTATCTCAGCCTCCCAGGTAGCTGGTACTACAGGTGCCTACTACAAAACTCGGCTAGTTTTTTCTATTTGTAGAGATGGGATCACACTTTGCTCTGGCTGGTCTCAAACTCCTGAGCTTAATCAATCCACCTCAACCTCCTCAGCAAAAGCAACTTCAACCATAAGCCACCATGCATGCCTTCAAATGTACCCTTAATTACAGAATTTTTCTTTTAATGTTTAAAGAGATGGGATCTCACTATGCTGCCTAGGCTAGTCTCAAACACCTGGTCCTAAGCAATCCTCCCCTCTCAGCCTTACAAATCACTGTGCCCAGCCTTTAATTACAGACTTAAAATACAGTATGGAGTACCAAAAATCTAGCCAAGGAAGCACACACACATTTTTATTCCACTTGAATTAAAAAATAAACAAAACAAATACTAGGGTAAAAAAATAGATGTATTAACACTACATATGCAGAAAACTATAAGAATAAAATTTAGATATGGTTACCTCTAATGCACTGGTATTCAACTAGGGGTGATTTTGTCCCCAAGGGGACATATGCAATGTATGGAGACATCTCCAGGGCTAACATGACTCGCAGGGTAGGCTGTAGAGGGTGATTCTGGCATCTCATGAGTGGAAGCCATGAAGATACTGGTAACTATCCCATAGGGCACAAGACAGGTCCCCACCACATTATTAACTTTGGGGCCAGATAATTCTCTGTTCTAGAGACCTGTTCTGTATGCACAGCACGTTTAGCAGTGACCTCACTAGATGCCAAAGGCACAAGCCCCCAGTTGTGACAACCCAAAATGTCCCTAGACATTGTCAAGACTATTGGTGGGGAGGACAAAATGGTCCCTAGTTGAAACCACTGCTCTCAGGGGAGACAGAAAATGAGAAAAAGGAAAAGTCGACAGTTTAACTTTTGTTATGTATCAATGAGCATATCCTATAGGTCAGATACTAAATCTCTGTGTTTAACATTAAACAGCTGCTGGCTCAGAGCCCATGGTTAGGGTGCCAGCTACATATACTGGGGCTGGCGAGTATGAATCCAGCCTGGGCCTGCCAAACAACAATGACAACTGCAACCAAAAAATAGCCAGGCATTGTGGCAGGGACCTGTAGTCTCAGTACTTGGGAGGCTGAGGCAATAGAATCACTTAAGCCCAAGTGTCTAAGGTTTCTGTGAGCTGTAATGCCACGGCACTCCACCGAGGGCAACATAGTGAGAGACTGTCTCAAAAAAAAAAATAAAAATATATATATATATATATATATATGTATGTATATATATATATATAAATAAAAAACAAATGCCTTCAGAAAAAGGCAATAAAGATCAAAACCAAACTGGAGCAATCCAACTGCAAATCATCAGAGTTACAGGAGACCCTGACAATTATCACCAGTTCCACCTAGGCAAACAGTAGCAATTATGAGATTATCAGGCATTTCTTTGTTTCTTTTTTTTAAATTTTAGGGCATAGACAAAATGGTATAGGGAGATAAAACTGAAAAGGCATTTTATAAGTCTTACCCTGGTATCTTCGCTAATATAACCACACATGACTTTTTCATTCTTGACCCATAGCTCACCAGCTTGTGCCCTGAAAAGAGAAACACACATAAATTATTATAAGCTTTACATTAAACCAAGAAGAAATAGAGGCAACTTCAGGTGGCTCCTACTCTGAGACTTACAGCCAATGAACTGACTCGTTATAGATTTTCAAAGACAGCTCCATGAACAAATTATCCAATATAAATTCCCATACTATATTGAGTATGTACAACAGGAGTGCTTAATCTGGGAGCCCATAAACAACATGAAGATCTAAGAAAGGGCTTCAGAGAATCTTTGAACCCTCTGAAATGATATGTAAAACTTTCTAGGGAGAGAATCTACAACTGTGGTCAAACTTTGAAAGGGCCCATGTCACAATAAAAAGTTGAGAAGCACTGATGAACAATTTTGCTACCTCGGGGTTTTTTGTTGTTGCTGTTTTTGTTTTAGAGGCAAGGTATCACTCTGTTGGCTGGGCTAGAGGTGCAGTGTATCATCATAGCTCACTGCAACCTTGAACTTTGGGGTCAAGCAATCCTCCTGCCTCAGCCTTTTGAGGAGCTGGGACCACAGGCCCATGCCATGATGCCTGGCTAATTTTTCTATTTTTTGTAGAGATGACATCTCACTGTTGCCCAAGCTGGTCTCAAACTCCTAGCCTCAAGCAATCTTCCTATTTCAGCCTGCCAAAGTACCAGGATCACAAGTGTGAGTCCCTGTACCAGGCCTGTTAACCCCCATTTTGATACAATGAGTATTTAATGGGGACATAAATCCATCATAGTACTAGAAGTAGAAAACAAGCAGTCAGAAGATAGAAGGAGGCTACTTTGCTGAGACAAAGTCTTACTCTGTAGCTTTACACCTAGTGCTGTGGTGTCACTGTAGCTCACAGCAAACTCAAACTTTTGAGTTCCAGCAATCCTCCTGCCTCAGCTTCCCAAGTAGCTGAGAATATAGGCACCCCCACAGCACCTGGCTAATTATTCTATTTGTAGTAGAGATGGGGGTCCCACTCTTGCTTAGGTGCTGAAAATTTTTAATGGAAACTTGGTGCTACATTTTTAAGGACTGATGTTTTTCCTCTGCAACTTTTGAGGGTGTGAAATGGATAGTACAGTATATAATGCATGGTATTATACTGTACTGACCAGCCTGCAGAAAAACTGGTCTAGGCAGGAATCCAGCTCTGAGTGTCACTTACTGGTTGAATGGCCATGGAAAAATGACTCATGAGGTTCAGTAATCTTCCTTTAAGAGTAACGCAATGGGCTCGGCACCTGTGGCTCAAGCGGCTAAGGCGCCAGCCACATACACCTAAGGTGGCAGGTTCGAATCCCCAGCCCGGGCCCGCCAAACAACAATGATGGCTGCAACCAGAAAATGGCCAGCGTTGTGGCGGGCGCCTGTGGTCCCAGCTACTTGGGAGGCTGAGGCAGGAGACTCGCTTGAGCCCAGGAGTTGGAGGTTGCTGTGAGTGTGGTGCCATGGCACTCTACCCAGGGGGATAGCTTGAGGCTCCGTCTCAAAAAAAAAGAGTAACACAATGATACCTACCACACAGAACTATTTTGAAAATTAAATCAGATAATGTGGGAAAATAGTTGAGGTTAGCATTAGGATAGGAAACAGTTGGTTAATTAAGAGTACTAGGAAACTATCTGTATTAGGGAGAACTTAAAGTATAGCCAATATTAATACAAAATGCTAGCCTGGAGAGAAAGTGGTAGCTGTTACCTAAGAACCAAGTAATCAGTCATCCCTCGCCCAACCTCTTAAGCCCTTATCTTCTACCTATCTCACTCTCTTTTCCCCAATGTAGACCTAAACAATCAGTCCTTATAAAAAAGAAAAGTCTAGAAAAAAGCCAGAAAAGACTGCATACCACGAGTTGCAGCTCAGTTACCTAAGAAATGCTGAACAATCTATCAATCTCTCTGGGCCGCCCTCATATTTGCATAATGAATTTGGTTAGACCAGGCTTATCTACGGCTTACATCTACGGCCTTAATTCTCCTTTGCCCCAAAACCAGTAAATGTGGTTAAGAAGAATCCTGCCCCATCCATCTTCTAGGGTTGGGAAGGTCAAATGTCATATACTGTAAATGAGAGAACTTGGTAAACCACAAAACAGTTATTATTATCCCTATGGAAAAAATTCTTTATTGAAAAGTATGCATGGGCCAGACTCGGTGGTTAAAAAACAAAACAGACAAACAAAAAACTCTCTAGCCCAAGAGTTTGAGGGCACTCTACTGACAGAGACAAAGTGAGACTCTGTCAAGGAATGGAAAGGAAAGGAAAGGGGAAGGAGAGGAAGGAAAGAAAGAAAGAAAAGCATGCATGCATACACAGGCACACACACACACACACAGAGAAAATGCAATGTTGACCCTGATTCCTAAGCCTTTAATTTTCCCTTACCCAAAAGGAACCAAGAACAGCCCAAAGGCACTATCTTTCTCTTTTCTACTGGTTTGAAGGAGAAACAAACGCCACTGACAAATGCAAGCACATAATTTATATCCCCTAGACATAACCCAAGAGTATGCATGGCTTCTCACAGAGTGCAAGAACAGCAAATGGCACACTGCCAAGCCCTAGATCTCAATGAAGGAGACCTCGGAATACCAGTCCTTCATTTATGCATGAGCTTAGGCAGGTCACTTCCCTTGTTTTTCTATCAAATGAGTTGTGTGGAGTCAGTGATCACCACTATCTTTTACAACTAAGTTTCATCACTCTGTGAATTAAAAAGTTAAAATAAGCTACAATATGATTAAACAGGCGAGGCACCTGTGGCTCAAGGAGTAGGGCACCAGCCTCATATACAGGGGTGGTGGGTTCAAGCCCAGCCCCAGGCAAACACTGCAAAAATAAATAAATAAACAGGAGAGGGTCCCAAGTACAGTATTTTAACAAAACAAAAAGCCAGGTCAGGTGGCTTACACCTGTAATCCTAACATTATGGGAGGCCTAGGTGGGTGGATTGCTTGACTCCAGGAGGTGAGACTAGCCTAAACAACAGCAAGACTCCATCTCTACTAGAAATAGAAAAAAACTAGCAGGGTGCCATGGCCGCCGCCTGTAGTCCTACCTCCTTGGGAGGCTGAGGCAAGAGGATCGCGTGAGCCTTATAGTTTGAGGTTGCAGTGAGCTGTGATAACAACACTGTACTCTAGCTAGAGCAGCAGAGTGAGACTCTGTCTCAAAAACATTAACTGGCCAGGCACGGTGGCTCACACCTATAATCCTAGCATTCTGGGAGGCCAAGGTCGGGGGATTGCCTAAGCTCACAAGTTAGAGACCAGTTTGAACCAGAGCGAAACCTCGTGTCTAACAATAGCTGGACATTGTGGTGGGTGCCTGTAGTCCCAGCTACTCCGGAGGCAAGAGAATTGCTTAAGCCCGAGAGTTTGAGGTTGCTGTGAGCTATGATGCCACAGCACTCTAACAAGGGTGACAAAGTTAGACTCTATCTCAAAAAAAAAAATTAATTAACTAATTAAAAAATTAAAAACATAGACCAGGTACAGTGGCTCATACCTGTAATCCTAGCACTCTGGGAGGCTGAGGCAGGAGGATCACTTGAACCCAGGAACTTGAGGTTGCTGTGAGCTAGGCTGATGCCACAACACTCTAGCCTGGGGAACAGAGTAAGACTCTGTATCAAAAAAGAAAAAAAAAAGGAAAATAAAAACAAAAGAAAAACCAAAAAGAAAAAATATTTAAAAATAATAAAGCAAAAGTTGGATTAGAGGCTTGGCGCCTATGGCTCAAGTGGCTAAGGCACCAGCCACATACACCTAAGGTTGTGAGTTCAAATCCCGTGCTCACCAGAACAACAATGACGGCTGCAACCAAAAAATAGCCAGGCATTGTGGCAGGCACCTGTGGTCCCAGCTACTTGGGAGGCTGAGGCAGGAGACTCGCTTGAGCCCAGGAGTTGGAAGTTGCTGTGATCTGTGATGCCACGGCACTCTCTACCCAGGGGGATAGCTTGAGGCTTTATCTCAAAGAAAAAAGTTGGATTGGAAAGAGATATTTCACTTTGAAATAGTGAAATTTTCTTTTGAAATTTTCCTCAATGTTTCTAACATGCTAATTTTTTTTTAATTGGGGCGACCTTTACCCGCTCAAAAATTCATCTCATATAAGGAGTGAGGATTCAGGTGTCACCCCGAATCATTATTTTCCTAACTCATAAGTTTCAGGCATGCTAATTTTTTTTAAATTTTTGCAGTTTTTAGCCAGGGCTGGTTTGAACACACCACCTCCAGTATATGGGGCGGTGCCCTAATCCTTTGAGCTACAGGCACTGCCCTTAATATTTTTAACACTCTATATTGGGAATTTGCTCAGAGGAAATAAAAATGTTTAAGAAAAAATAATGTTTTAAAGGCAGGGTCTCAAGATAATGAAACTGTCTCATATGTCCTTAATTATTTAACTCATTACCAGGTTGAAAGTTAAATTACAGGAAAATTCTTTAAAAATTCATAATGCCATCAACTATACAAATAATGACTTTACTTTCTTTTCCTCACATGAGGGCCAGAACATCTTTTTTGTTCGTCCATTCATGGAGTTAGCAAGAGAAAGTGAAGTTTGATCCAATGTACAAATACTACGAATCTTCTAGAGAAAGGATAGAAGACTTTGATGTTGAGATTTAACTACGTATGCCTCAGCAAAATATTAGGACAGATCTTGAAAAGTCTAAAACTGTCATTGTGTCAGGATTTTCTTTATCTAGCACCACGTATATGGGGCCATTTACAAAAAAGAAATAAGGAATTTAAGAAGGAAAGGGAATTGAGAAGGTTTCTAAATCATGGCTCAATAAACTATATGCAGCCTATGGGACAAATCCAGCCCATCTCTTGTTTTTGTATGGTCCACAACTACAAATGCTTGTTACTGTTTTTTTTAGAGACAGAGTATCACTTTATTACCCTTGGTAGAATTCTGTAGCATCACAGCTCACAGCAACCTCCAGCTCTTGGGCTTAGGTAATTCTCTTGCCTCAGCCTCCCGAGTACCTGTGACTACAGGCGCCCACCACAATGCCCGGCTAATTTTTTGTTGCAGTTTGGCCGGGGCAGGTTTGAACCTGCCACCCTCAGAATATGGGGCCGGCACCCTACTCACTGAGCCCTAGGCACCACCCAGTTGTTACATTTTTAAACACAAACACACACAGAGAATATGCAATAGAGACCTGAGATCTATGTGACCAATGACATCTAAAATATTTATTATCTAGTGCCTGACGGAAAAAGACTCTAAACCAATCATGGAATGATTGCAGATGTGGAGACTGAGAGTTTACCTACTCACTGATCACAGTGATAGCTAATTGCTGGCACTAATGAAGTTAATAGATCACTCACTCACTCAGAAGTGAGGTTTCCTGACCCCTGGTTCACCATCCCATGAATCTAGGTTGCATTTCGTCACTTGAGTTGTGCTTTAGTTGCTTGAAGTTTTAAAAGAATTAAAACAATCAACTTTTAAAACATCCATTTAAAGGTGGCACCCATGGCTCAGAGGGTAGGGTGTTGGCCACATACACAGAGGCTGGTGGGTTCGAGCCCAGCCCAGTCCAGCTAAAACCAACAATGACAACTGCAACAAAAAAATAGCCAGGCGTGGGCGGCGCCTGTGGCTCAAAAGGGTAGAGCGTCAGCCCCATATGTCAGAGGTTGCAGGTTCAAACCCAGGCCCCAGCCAAAAAAAAAAAATAATAATAGCAAGGCATTGTGGCAGGCACCTGTAGTCCCAGCTACTTGGGAGGCTGAGGCAAAAGAATTGCTTAAGCCCAAGAGTTTGAGGTTGCTGTGAGCTGTGATGCCACGACATTCTATCGAGGGTGACACAGTGAGACTCTGTCTCAAAAAATCTAAATAAATAAATACTAAAAGGATTCAGGGGCTGGACACAGTGGCTCACTCTTGTAATTTCAAAACCTTGGGAGGCTAAAGTAGGGAGATCACATGAGCCTGGGAATTCAAGATAGAATGGACATTATAGCAAGACACCTATCTCAAAAAAAATGAAAAAGAATTAGCCAAGCCTGGTAGTACATGCCTATAGTCCTTGTTACTTGGGCGGCTGAGATAGAAGGGTTGCCTGCGCCCAGGAGTTTCACATTGCAGTGGACTATGATCACACCTGAGAATAGCCAATGCACTCCAGTCAGGCAATAAAGGGAGATCTCATTTCTTAAAAAATGGGAAAAAAAAGTTAACTGGGTATGCAGTCGAGAGGACAGAGTGAGACTGTCTCATAAATAAAACAAAGGATACCAGCTAATAAATATAGAAAGGATGACTGAAAATTAGAAAATCACTATTTTACAACAATTAACAGTGACTTAAATCACTGGAGAAAAGTTGATGAGGAGCTTTATAATAGGGAACCAAACTGCATCATCTGAACCCACTGAGCAATCTCAGTATTACTAAAAGTCAGTCAATCAGGCTGGACGCAGTAGCTCACGCCTATAATCCTAGCACTCTAAGAGGCCAAAGTAGGTGAACTGCTTGAGCTCTGGAGTTCAAGCCCAGCCTGAGCAAGAGCAAGAGCCCAGCTCTACTAAAATAGAAAAACTAGTTGGGCACAGTGGTAAGCAACTGTAGTCTCAGCTACTTGGGAGACTGAGGCAAAAAGATTGCTCAAGCCCAGGAGTTTGAGGTTGCTGTGAGCTATGATGCCAAGGCACTCTACCCAGGGTGACAGGGTGATATTCTATCTCAAACTAAAATAAACAAATGAAAGTCAATCAGACATAAATATGCTTGTGTATACACTGCAAATTTCAGGAAAAATGCAGATTACTTCTGGGGAAAAGGATATAGGATATACCTTATCATATTATTTGAATGTTTTACTATGTACATACAATACTTTTTGAATTTAAAAGGGACTTTAAGAAGGGCAGTGCCTGTGGCTCAAAGGAGTAGGGCGCCAGCCTCATATGCTAGGGGTGGTTGGGTTCAAACCCAGCCTAAGCCAAAAACTCCAAAAAAAAAGGAAGTCCCTTTTGTTCACAAACCAATATATAAAAATAATTTTAATAAATCAATACCAGGGAAATATAGTTTAAAATGTAATAAATCAAGAACTATTCTGCTAGTCATCTTTTTTTTTTTTTTTTTGAGACAGTCTCACTTTGTCAACCTCAGTAGAGTGCGTGGCATCACACTTCACAGCAACCTCAAACTCTTGGGCTTAAGTGATTCTCTTGCCTCAGCCTCCCAAGTAGCTGAGACTACAGGCACCCACAACACCTGGCTATTTTTTGGTTCCAGTTGTCACTGTTGTTTAGCAGACCTGGGCAAGGCTCAAACCCACCACCTTTGGTGTATGTGGTCAGCACTGTACTCACTGAGCTATAGGTGCTGAGCCTATTCTGTTAGTTATCTTATGACTCTAAACCTACTTTTTAATCTATGAAATGAAAAGGTTTGATTAGATTTGTATCTACTTTTTTTTCCCCAGTTCTAATACTATATGAGTCTCTAACTCCTTTGTTACAGAATACCCAGAAGTGGCTTGGCGCCTGTGGCTCAAGTGGCTAAGGCACCAGCTACGTACACCCAAGGTGGCGGGTTCGAATCCAGCCCGGGCCCGCCAAACAACAATGA